AGAGACGTCTCGCTCGAGCAAAAAGCCGTCGAAACACCATCGGCGCGGGAAGGGAGGGAGCCGGAGGACAGACGACGACGGTGAAGGGTTCCTGAGGGCTTCGAGCGGCGCGGGAAGGGGGCCGCGAGAGTGGATCCAGGCCGTTTCAGAGGTCCTGCGATTGGGGCTGGTTCGAGGAACGGTCCGGCAGGACCTCGTTTCAAAAGAGAATTAATTGCCCGTGAGGGGCACGCGATTACGTATTATCTTTCAACGATGTTTGCTCTCGCCCGCTGCATCTGTCTACGGATTCTGACGGATCCCGACGCGACACCTAATTCCGTCGCGAGTCGCTCGCTATTCGCGTTTCGGGGGACGCGTTCGATCGCTTCTTTCTCTATGAACCCTACGGATTCGGAGATGGTAGGAACTCGGTCGCGAGGTACGGGGGATGGAACTTATTATCTAGCGCCTATGAGTACTGTAAGAGAAATATTCTTAACACATTGCGTACCGGTAACGAGAAATCTCGTTTTTATATAAAGACACGTAGCTATGCAACTTCGCTAATTACCGCAGCATTGAAGAGAATATAAAATTTCATTCGAATTGATTATCTATTTAAAATATATTACACAACAATATGATATTTGAGTTTTTCTATGTATAGTGATATAAGTTGACCTCACTGAAAATTGCCATCACAATTCAGTTTTCTGAAAATTAGCCGGTACGCAATGTGTTAATACTAGAACTACCGTGCCAGTTAGAATGACTGGTTTTCATTTGTTCCGCAATTATTATCTCGAAGGCATTGAATATTCAAAGTTATCTTGAAAATAGTTTTACTCGACTACTGTAACGAATGTCTGAAGATAATCTATTGTTACAATTTTTATGGGGACTATATATTAACCCTTTGAACTCTGTAGGCTCCAATATTGCACCAGGAGTAATATTATATATTTGAATGAATCTTAAAGAAACTACTCTACAATTATTTCTCATTTTCGCTAGGGATACTATAAAAACTAGTTGCAGTTGCCGATAGATTACAAGACCATCTGGAGCGCTAAGGGTTAAGGGTAATACCGCTAAGGGTATTAAATACACGGTAGTTCTAGCGTCGAGCGCCCGTGGTGTTCCCCGAGCGGCTTCGGGCGGCAACGGTGGTCGGAGGGTCCACGGTGTCCGTGCGGTTCGCCGGTGGAAGGTCCTGGAAAATAGAAGAACGTTAGCAGTGCCCTACAACTCGCGTAAGCGTTGGAAGCGAGACCCAGGTTAGGGACTAGGCGAATCTATCTGCGCGGCAGCACGGGTACCGGCCGGGGGTCTCGCGGGCGTGCGCGTCTCGAGGCAAGAAAGGGGTTCGTCGTCCGGACGGCCGCAGGCTTTCCCGAAGGGGGGCACGGCGCTCGGGTCGCCGTCGTCGAGCAGAATGAACGGGAGAGAGAGTATGCGAACGTAGGAACGAATGAACGTACGGCGCACTAAACGAAAGAAAATCGATATGCATGATTCACGCACGCACGCACGCAGCACGCACGCACGCACGGAGGCTCGCGTGGGGAACAGGGAACCGAGAGAAGGCTAAGGGTAGGGGCACGCGAGGGCTAGGGGTGGGTAGAGAGACCCGGTGAAAGGAGAGGCGAGCGCGAGGACGGGGGACAAGAGACAGCGCGATCGGCAGAGCCGGGGGGCGGGCGGGAGACGGTACGCGCGTGGGTCCGACGGAGAGAACAAAAGCTGCCGGACGGAGAAGGGAGAGCGGCGAGAGGGAAGAGCGAAGGCAGGGCCACTCTTCTCTCCCCTCGATTCTCTCCCTTTTGCGCGAACCCGAAGGGGACGGAGAGCTGCTGCTGCCGCTGCTGCTGCTCTATGCGCGATGAGCGGGCACACACGTAATTCTATACAGGCGCACGCTGGAGGGGTATTCGTACAATGCTACCCCCTCGGTCACTCGATCAGTCGTGTCCGAAGTGCCATGCGATTGGAAACCGATGCAATGCGTTGCTTTGCGCCGCGTCGCCGAGCGTCGCGAGAGAGTTCTCCGCGCGTTTCCCTCAATCGGATCCCGCTCGTCGCGCGCGTACGGACCTCGTTTCCCGAGCGGGGAGGAAAACGGCGGGCA